ATGTTTTTCCTGGAGAGAAGTGGCTTCCTCTCTGCCCTTCTTGACACTAGGCCATCCTCCAAAAGTCTTCGCCTCACTGTGCGTGCAGATGCACTCACACCTGCCTGCTGCCATTCCTGAGCAAGTTCTGCGCTGGTGGTGCCCCGATCCCACAGCTGAATCAACTTTAGAAGAAGGTCCTGGCGCTTGCTGGACGTTCTTGGGCGCCCTGACGCCTTCTTCACAACAATTGAACCTCTCTCCTTGAAGTTCTTGATGATCCGATAAATGGTTGATTATGGTGCAATCTTACTAGCAGCAATATCCTTGCCTGTGAAGCCCTTTTTGTGCAAAGCAATGATGACGGCACGCGTTTCCTTGCAGGTAACCATGTTTAACAGAAGAAGAACATTGGTTTCAAGCACCACCCTCCTTTTAAAGCTTCCAGTCTGTTATTCTAACTAAATCAGCATGACATAGTGATCTCCAGCCTTGTCCTCGTCAACGCTCTCACCTGTGTTAACGAGAGAATCACTGACATGATGTCAGCTGGTCCTTTTGTGGCAGGGCTGAAATGCAGTGGAAATGTTTTTGGGGGATTAAGTTCATTTTCATGGCAAAGAGGGACTTTGCAATTAAATGCAATTCATCTGATCACTCTTCATAACATTCTAGAGTATATGCAAACTGCCATCATAAAAACTGAGGCAGCAGACTTGGGGAAATTAATGTGTGTGTCATTCTCAAAACATTTGACCACGACTGTACACTGAACAAAAATATAAACGCAACATGCAACAATTTCAAAGATTTTACTGAGTTACAGTTCATATAAGGAAATCTGTTAATTGAAATAAATTCATTAGGCCCTAATCTATGGATTTCACATGACTGGGAATAAAGATAAGCATCTCTTGGTCACAGAGAGAGCTTCCCCTTAAACAGTCAAGTGTTGCTTTAGCAGTATGCTTAGGGTCATTGTCCTGCTGGAAGGTGAACCTCCGTCCCAGTCTCAAATCTCCGGAAGACAAACAGGTTTCCCTCAAAGAATGTTCCTGTATTTAGCGCCATCCATCATTCATCCAGAAGTGTGAAAAACATCCCCACAGCATGATGCTGCCACCACCATGCTTCACTGTGGGGATGGTGTTCTCGGGTGATGAGAGGTGTTGGGTTTGCGCCAGACATAGCGTTTTCCTTGATGGCCAAAATGCTCAATTTTAGTCTCATCTGACCAGAATACCTTCTTCCATATGTTTGGGGAGTCTCCCACGTTTGCTTATTTTTTTCTTTAGCAATGGCTTTTTTCTGGCCACTCTTCCGTAAAGCCCAGCTCTGTGGAGTGTACGGCTTAAAGTGGTCCTATGGACAGTTACTCCAATCTCCGCTGTGGAGCTTTGCAGCTCCTTCAGGGTTAACTTTGGTCTCTTTGTTACCTCTCTGATTAATGCCCTCCTTGCCTGGTCCGTGAGTTTTGGTGGTTGGCCCTCTCTTGGCAGGTTTTGTGGTGCCATATTCTTTCAATTTTTTAATAATGGATTTAAATGGTGCTCCGTGGGATGTTCAAAGTTTCTGATATTTTTTTATAACCCAACCCTGATCTGTACTTTTCCACAACTTTGTCCCTGACCTGTTTGGAGAGCTCCTTGGTCTTCATGGTGCCGCTTGCTTGGTGGTGCCCCTTGCTTAGTGGTGTTGCAGACTCTGGGGCCTTTCAGAACAGGTGTATATATACTGAGATCATGTGACACTTAAATAAAGTCCACCTGTGTGCAATTAACTTATTATGGGACTTCTGAAGGTAATTGGTTGCACCAGATCTTATTTAGGGGCTTCATAGCAAAGGGGCTGAATACATATGCACGCACCACTTTTCCGTTATTTATTTTTTAGAATTTTCTGAAACAAGTTATTTGTTTCATTTCACTTCACTTTTTTACACTATTTACACTTACACTATTTTGTGTATATCCATTACATGAAATCCAAATAAAAATCCATTTAAATTACAGGTTGTAATGCAACAAAATAGGAAAAACGCCAAGGGGGATGAATACTTTTGCAAGGCACTGTAAATACCCCATATCAACAACACAAAATCCATGTGTACGTGTGTGTATAGTGCATATGTTTGTGTTGCATCACAGTCCCCGCTGTTCCATAACTACCCTGATAGGATGACTGATTACCTGAACCAGGTTGCAGGCACTGGTTACAGTTTGAAGCTTTTTCTTGAATGGGCAGCTTGCTGAAAGCCAGTCAATATTTAAATCACCCAGAAAATATACCTCTGTTGATATCACTAACATTATCAAGCATTTCACACGTTATCCAGATACTGACTGTTAGCACTTGGTGGTCTATCGCAGCTTCCCACAAGAATGGGCTTTAGGTGAGGCCTGTAGCCATATTACTTCAACAGTATTTAACATGAGATCCTCTCTAATCTTTACAGGAATGTGGTTCTGAATATAAACAGCAACACCTCCACCACTGGCATTTCTGTCTTTTCTGTAAATGTTATAACCTTGTATTGCTACCACTGTATCAAAGGTATTGTCTAAGTGAGTTTCAGAGATAGTCAGAATATGAATGTCACCTGTTAAGCTACATATGTTAATGCAGGCTATTTTGAACACTTTTCTGGGATGCTTGCTTGTTTTCATTGCTTTACTGGGAAGCTTAGCAGAAGTAGATATTCTCATGTTATTTATGTTAGTGCAAGGTGAGCTACACACAGTGGACTTCCTACTAGGGCACACCGCCTCAGCGCTAACCGCATAAATCTGGTTCATAGGCACATGATTGCTGCATACAATAGCTGTAGGATCAGCAGAGGCATTCAGGGCAGTTCGAGAGACATAAATTAGGTTACTTACATTGTGTCTAACAATGCCCCTGGTATAATGTACATTTGCTAAAGCATTATGATGACTCAGCGACACAATGGTAGGGATTAACTTGGGTCATTGATAAGTCATTGTCTCAACGCAGCCTTATGTTGTGAAAGGATCCAGGAACCCAAATTATTTGGGTTACACCCATTGAACTGCAATAATCCCGTAGCCTGTTGTGAAGAGAAAGAATCCTGCTAAAGCGTTCAATGCCACGATTCAGAGAGGGCACAGGACCTCGGTGTCCCGAGTGGCGCAGTGGTCTAAGGCACTGCATCGCAGTGCTAGCTGTGTCACTAGAGATCCTGGTTCGAATCCAGGCTCTGTCGTAGCCGGCCGCGACCGGGAGACCCATGGGGCGGCGCACAATTGGCCCAGCGTCGTCCAGGGTAGGGGAGGGAATGGCCGGCAGGGGATGTAGCTCAGTTGGTAGAGCATGGCGTTTGCAACGCCAGGGTTGTGGGTTCGATAAAATAATGTATGCGCTAACTGTAAGTCGCTCTGGATAAGAGCGTCTGCTAAATGACTAAAAATGTAAAAATGTAAATATGATGGGTCTTTTATTAGTGTCTAGCAGAGTCAATCAGCTCTTTGAAATCCAGTTTCAACTGTTCAGAGCTAGCCTTCATAATGTCATTAAAACCCACATGGACTACGATAGAATCAATGTCTGTGTCCTGGCGTAGTACATTTGGGAGCAGCTTAGTAATGTAATTTACTCAAGCTCTGGGATAGGACATTGTTTTTGCACCAGGAACAGTCACATTTCTTACCATGGAGCTGCCCAAAATCATGACTGGCGAGAAGGACGAGGAAATCCGCCCACTACCACACTTCACAGGATGGTGCAGGCCTCTGACAGATTGAGAATCCCCGCTCGATCCAGAGCAGGAAGGTTGCCGACGTTGACTTCGAAATTGTAGGGGAAGGAGTAGGCACAGCGGCCGCAGACACAGGCAATCCCAGTGACGAAGGTGCAGGAAGATCAGGCTCCAGGGCGGCGAAACTATTCGTTGTTTGTATCCACTCCGGGCTTCTCGTTGGGAGTGTAGACTGCTTTGCGGGAGGCCGTTGTCTTCGGCTTCCACGGCTTGTGAGATGCGACCATTGTTGATTGCCATGCTCCTCTTCCTGTGCTCCTTCGACTCCGCTATCAGATGGGGGAGGAGAGGCAGGAGATGGCTCCCCTGGCGAACGAACTCCGGGCAACACCGGCCAGTCAGATAACATAAAACGTCAAGATGGAGATGCATCCAACATGCGAACGCCGTCCTGCCACCGGTGTAGAAAAGGTCAAACATTCCACTCTGCGTTTTCCCCAGTTTCTTACGTAGGCTGGCTACCTGCATAATCAAGGATGCCACCTCAAGCCTATAATCCTCGGCAAGCAAACAATTGCCGCATTGGAACTCTGAGTGATCCAGTTTGTCCCTGAAACGAAGCGTAATAGATACAGCGCTGGAACCGTTCATTTACTTCTCCAGACAAAGAGGGCTCCATTGGAAAACAAATCTGGGACTAATTTCGTTAGCTTGATGGCTAACGTTAGCAGCCATCAACATTTCGGGGATCTTTTATTTCAGCTCATGAAACCAACACTTTACATGTTGCATTTATATTTTTGTTCAGTTTAAATAGATAAGCTAGCTTTAGCCTTAGCCATGTAACGGGACTGCATAGCTAGATTGATTGTGTTGAGATTCCCAATCACTGCCCTTTACTTCGTGTTTTTTTCTCAAAATATTGGGTCAGTGAAACTGAAACAGTTCATCCCCTGAATGGATGGAGGCAGCAAACAATGTACTAGCTGTGATATACAACCTGATAGCAATATTTAATAGACTACCTAGCGATTTATTGGTGAATTTTATTAATCATGCATTGACTGCATCCATTTAATTCTGCCAACAATGCCTTAATCTATGTAATGGAATTTGGAGTGAAATAGAACCTCTTATAAAGTTGGTTTTGAAGTATAAACTGTGAATTTGATATTGTAGACCGATATTATGATGATCTGTTTGTTTAATTTCTGTAAAGCAGTTCAAATGGTGTCAGTTCCACTTTAAATGACTGTACCTTAAAGTCGTTGATGTGCAAGAACTCGTCAATGATAGCTTTGGACTTCCTCTCCATCTCCTCCTCAGAGAGAGCAGGTCTGTCTGGAGAATGGGCCACCACAGGCTCTGCTTTCACTGCAGGGGGAAACAACACTGTTACAAGAGCGCTCCCCTGCTAGAGAGAGTGTGTGTGTGAGTGTGTCCACTGACTGTGTGTTTAGTCAGTGTATGTCTCTAGAACTGGGTTCTGTTCCCTCACCAGGCTCCCTGGCTCTGCAGCGCTCTGGCTCAGTCTTGTCTTCGCTGACGCTGGGCCTCCTGGGGCTCTCCAGCTCTCTGCAGGGCTCCTCGGGGCTCAGGGCCGGGCTCTCCAGCAGCTCTTTGGCACTGACGCCTCGGACGAAGGAACCAGGCCGTGACGGGGCTGAGCTCAGGGGCTTCTCGCTTCGCTCTCTCCCTGCACTGCTTCGACTGAGGGAGGAGAAAACACACACACACACACAATGCGAATCAGAATGTTTTGCTTCGAAATAAGAAGTTCAGAGACCAAATCCATTATATAAGTTTCAAAATATGATCATTACCTGCCCAAGGCTCTTCTAGTGTCATACTCTGGGTTCTGTGCAGGTGGGCTGGTGGGTTGAGATGGGGTGGACTGGAGTGCAGAATACCGGTTTAAACTGGCACCACCACCACCAGACCGGGATAATTCTGATGGGAGACAAGATGAAGCAGCAGACATTACAATTCAACCAGGACACAATTACAACTAATTCAACTGGATCACCAATGTGTGTGTGTGTGTGTGTGTGTGAGACGGTATGTCTCCTTACCGGAGTCACTGGCCTTGGCCCCTCCACTGCTGCCCTTCATCCAGTTGAGTGAGGCCCGTGGTCCCAGTTGGATCTTCTCATCCATCTGAGGCTAAACAGGATGATGACGGACAGAAACAGTTCACCTTCCAATACTCATATCATGTGATCTGGGCCTACAACGCTATAATGACCAAGAGTCTCTGAGAATGGAGAGCTGCCTCATACATCATTGGTCCTGACACACAGAGGACTGTCTGGGTTTCTAACATATTTCCTCCAGCAGGGGGAGCCATGCTATCCAGCAGGTGGACGTATTATTTCGCCACTAGAACAATTTCATGAGGACAGGGTTGTGTGCCACATAGAAGTATTAATGAAGAACCACAGGATTCCTATAAGTGAGGAGATAGCTAATGCGGTGTACTGTAGACATTACAACACAGTAGCGTTTAATCTACTAGTTGGCATTGTATGGCAGTAGGGAAGACCATGCACCTAATACGAATGCAAACATGTCCAGGAAGACTTGTGCTTGTAGACCAATGAGGACACAATTCTTAATTGATCGGGTAAACATAACTCAAAATGTCAGGCTGACTTATGTCATCCAACTTGTAAAGACTTGAAGGAACCAAACATCAATTATTGTCTAATGCCATTTTGTAATTACAATGGAGTACACTACCTCCATGGTAAACCACCCAAAAGAGGAAGTCAAAAGTTGAGGTCTACAGGTGTTTTCGGGGCTGACCTTGGAGATCTTGGGGATCTTGGTGGGGTCGATGGTCCTGCTGTTCTTGGTCATGGGCACAGTGTTCCAGGTCTCCTCTCTCTGCTGCACACGCTGCTCCCTCTGCTGGTCTCTCTGCTGCTCTCTCTGCTGTTGCTCTGGAGGACAGAGGGAACACACACGGGGGATGAGATGTTAATGGGTTTATTAAAGACAACTCAAATAGTGACAACATCAACTCCTTATGGCCCAGGCTTGAGAGAATACTGTGGGGTGAGTTGAAAGATGGGAGAGAGTGGGGGAGCCTTCTGTCCACTGTGGGCCACCGTAGCATCTCTGAGTCTGCAAGCTATGGGGAGGGGATGCCAGTGTGGCTGTAAGCCTTAAAGAGGATTTAGCCCATGGGCCTGGCTGACCTGGCCTTCTCTTGGTGTCCTTGGAGAGCAGCTGCTGGTGCACCTTCCTCTGCTCCTCCTGCTCTTCGATCTTGGCCTCTTTGTGGATCTGCTCGATGGTCTTGGGTCCCTGGTCAGCTCTCCTGGACACCCAGTTGTGCTGGAGGAAAAGAGCAGTGTTAGACCTACGCAAGGAGTTTCCTCAGAGAGACAATCTGGTGTTTTGAATTAGTAAACTGTGTACAACATAATTGGCCTACAGTCACAGTATTGTGTGGAGGGCTGTGCAGAACAATGTTTTATTCTACGCTCAAATCTCACTGATTAGTTTTCTTCCTCAGATCTAATTATTGGTGTGCTCAGGGAGCCTGCGTGAAATGGAGGTACTGAAAATGAACATTTTGATTTACTGTAATGGAAAATACATCCTCACAGCTGAGCTGGACAGACACAACCACAAATCTCAAGAATGCATGCATGCACATAACCCCACCAACACACAGGAGACACACACACACACACACACACAACTTACCAATCGGAGATCTATCACATCTTGCAGCATAAACCGTATCCGAGACGATGTCTTCCGCTCCTTCACAATTTTCTCCATCTGATTGAAATACTGATCCATGCGAGGCTATGACAAGAAAGAGAGAAATTAAGGGTCAATGCAAAGTGGTGTATTAATACATTTTCACTATTCACTCCAGAGGACAGCCAGATGCTCTCCATTCATTTCATTCCACTCCATTAAGCAATTCACTGTGCACTTTATATCTTTATATTTTATATATTTTTTAAACGCAATATGCAACAATTTCAAAGATTTTACTGAGTTACAGTTCATATAAGGAAATCAGTCAATTTAAATAAATAAATTAGGCCCTAATCTATGGACTTCACATGACTGGGAATACAGATATGCATCTGTTGGTCACAGATACCTTAAAAAAAAAGAAAAGGCAGGGGCGTGGATCAGAGAACCAGTCAGTATCTGGTGTGACCACCATTTTGCCTCATGCAGCGCATCACATATCCTTTGCATAGAGTTGATCAGGCTGTTGATTGTGGCCTGAGGAATGTTGTCCCACTCCTCTTCAATGGCTGTGTGAAGTTGCTGGATATTGGTGGGAACTGGAACACACTGTGGTAAACGTCGATCCAGAGCATCCCAAACATGCTCAATGGGTGACATGTCTGGTGAGTATGCAGGCCATGGAAGAACTGGACCATTTTCAGCTTCTAGGAATTGTGTACAGATCCTTGCGACATGGGGCTGTGCATTACCCTGCTGAAACATGAGGTTATGGTGGCGGATAAATAGCAAGACAATGGGCCTCAGGATCTCTTTGCATTCAAATTGCCATTGATAAAATGCAATTGTGTGTTGTCCGTAGTTTATGCCTTCCCATACCATAATCCCACCGCCACCATGGGGCACTCTGTTCACAACATTGACATCAGGAAACCGCTCGCCCACATGCACGCTGTCTGCCATCTGCCCAGTACAGTTGAAACCGGGATTCATCAGTGAAGAGCACACTTCTCCAGCATGCCAGTGGCCATCGAAGGTGAGCATTTGCCCACTGAAGTCAGTAATGACGCCAAACTGCAGTCAGGTCAAGACCCTGGTGAGGATGACAAACACACAGATGAGCTTCCCTGAGACGGTTTCTGACAGTTTGTGCAGAAATTCTTCGGTTGTGCAAACCCACAGTTTCATCAGCTGTCCGGGTGGCTAGTCTCAGACGATCCCGCAGGTGAAGAAGCCGGATGTGGCGGTCCCGGGCTGGCGTGGTTACACACGGTCTGCGCTGTGAGGCCGGTTCGACGTAATGCCAAATTCTCTAAAACGATGTTGGAGGCGGCTTATGGTAGAGAAATTAACATTATGGATGGATGGATTATCTCGGAAAATGATAAATGCTCACTAACAGGGATGTAAACAAATTTGTGCACAAAGAAATAAGCTTTTTGTGAGCATGGAACATTTCTGGGATATTTTATTTCACTTCACCTCATGAAACATAGGACCAACACTTTACATGTTGCGTTTATATTTTTGTTCAGTGTAGTATTGCTCCAGACTAAACTGAGCAGTTCGGGAGCAAGTAAAACAAAAGCCTTTTCTTGGCCTACAAAACACACACTACTAAATATGATTTAGTCTCAGGGCTAAATGTGCCAGATCAAATAAAATAAAATGTTATTGGTCACATGTGCCGAATAAAACAGGTGTACACTTTCCAGTGAAATGCTTACTTACAAGCCCATTCCCAACAGTGCAGTTCAAAAGTAAGACAAATATTTGCTAAATAAAAAAGGAAATAGTAACACAAAAACAATAACGAGACTAGCGTGGAACCCCGTATTATCTGCATATTCAACAGCGTCTAAGAAATATATTACCTTCAAGAGTGTTATCTTGTGATCAAGCCATCAATTTATTTTTATTATTGGTGTCGTAAAAATGTTAGCTAACGGGTTAGCAATTCGCATGTTTGACATTTCAGTGGAAATACTACTATTAAAAGCTTTTTGATAAGCGGTTTAGCAAAAAAATACGTCCCGTATAATCGGCATACGGTCACCAGTTATTGGCCACCTTACTATTTTGTTCAATTACAAGATATATCCGTTTAATTTTGTTTAAAAAAAAAGAGACACCAACCTCGTATCCAAAGTGTTTACTAGATAGTTGGCTAGCCTTCCGGTAAAGAATTATGACTTGCCTGTCAACTTTTCATTGGGTAGCCCGGTGCGCCTCCTGTGGACTCTTAAAAAATTGTTCTTCACCAACATATTCAGTGTTGTTATAACCAAATAATGTCTCAATTTGTTTTACAGATTAATCTTATGTTTTGAGAAAGTAGATAACAGTTGAATACTAAAATATAAATGAGTATGAATAATTTACATAAAATAAAACTTTTATTTCAATAATGTGCATTGACATAAACAATGAAAACACTGTTGGAGTTTGTGTTGCAGAGATGCACTTGGAAAGTAAAGGAAGAAATACACAAGATGGGTCGAATAAATATATATATTATATTTTAGACATATTTTTTTGTACAAATAAATAATTTCATATGAACACAAACAAAACAAACAATTAAATCTCGACCTCATTTACATTACATTTACGTCATTTAGCAGACACTCTTATCCAGAGCGACTTACAAATAGGTGCATTCACCTTATAGCCAGTGGGATAACCACTTTACAATGTTTTTTTTTTTTTTGGGGGGGAGGTTGGAGTAAAAGGGGGGGGGGGTAGAAGGATTACTTTATCCTATCCCAGGTATTCCTTAAAGACCTCCATCCCTATATTGTCACAAAAATCACAATAAAAATCCAGCTCCACCGCTACCTCTGGATCCCACTGCACACACCTGCAGTGGAACCAGTGCTGGCAGAAGTCACAGCACACCCATGGCACCTTGGATCTACACTCCTGAAGGGAGCTTGCAGGCGGATCATGCTCCCCATGGCGAGGTGGTGTCTTCTTTTATAAAAAAATAAAATAATAATCAAATTGATTAACATGGTTTTGAAAAATTTAGAAGGTCTTCAACAACAATAGTAACTGATACAACTGAGAGAGAGAAAAACAGATTATGAAGTACCTGAGAGTGGTGCCATGGGTGGCGTGACAGAGGTGTCCAGTGGAGCTTTTCTCTTCCTTTTCTGTGCTGCAATTTAAGAAAAAGTAGTGTTAGACAGAGTATGTTTCATGAAAACCCTTTTAACTTTTTTACATCAATACCTCTGGAGGAAGCTGCAGAAGTTTTGGAGGAGGTGGAGATGACTTGAGGGCTGGTGCTATGGACTGTAGATATGTAAAGATTATATTTATTTTTTTTACATTGCTGTTTTATAAAACAGATAAGTCATTTTTTCATAATTTAACATGTGTTTACCTGTGGAGGTGTCTGTATTCAAATTGCAGACGAGGCTGCTATGGTGGTGTGAACAGAGGAGACGGAGGAGGCAGTTGGTCCAGAGGAGGCTGTGTTGGTGGTGACAGACGGGGGGGTGGTGTGCATCGTGGTGGTGGTGGACAAAACCGCCGACGATGGCTTGGAGGAGTCGGTGTTTGTAATGGTGGGGTTGAGGGGCCAACGATGGTGTGGCCGGGAGAGTAGGCACGTGGCCTTCTTCTGCAGCTGGGGACTCCCGCGGCTCCTACAGGTGTTGCACACTGGGAGGCAGTGGTGATGCAGCTGTCAGGAGTGGTTCCAGCAGGGGGTCCAGCAGAGGCGATGGCGTCAATGGTCTCATCCATGGCAGCCCTCTCCTGTGCCCGCTGTGTTCTGAGGGCTGCCCGACGCTCTTTCTCCTCTGCCTCGGCCCTCTCCTTCTCACCCCTCTCCTGCCACTGGCGCATGTATTCCTCCCCGGTGATGCATGTGGCGACCACAGGGAGTCTTCTGTATCGGTCTAGCCGATACTTCAGGACAGTAAGGATGTGCCCCAGGTCCTTCGCTATCAGCCCCCCCTCTATTAGGGGGTGCTCTTCTAGAGCTAGGGCTGGGACTGGAGCAGGGGCTGAGGGTCCTCCTGTGATCACTGGGGAGGAGGTGCTGATGGACGGCACAGTGCTGCTGGTTACAGGAGAGGCGGTGGTGGGACCCGGTAGGGACCGAGACGGCATTAAACGGGACCCTTCAATGGCTGAAGGGTCAAAAGGGAAGAGGCCACACTTCTTATACCCTTCCACCACATAGCGCATGTCCTTGCAGCGCTGATACTGGCAAATTCTGATTTGTTTACCATGTAGGAGTGGTCAAAATGGCTAAGGTCTCCAGCTACCTTGGAGAACTCAGCCTTTAAAGGGCCAAAGTATGCCTCGTCCAGCGGTTGCAGGACATGGGTGCAGTGTGGTGGAAGACAAAGAAGTATAACCCCTTCCCTTAGTGCCGCCACGAGCACCTCCGGGTCTATGTGGCTCTTGTACCCATCGAAGAGGAGAAGGAGAGGGCGCTCTTTCACTGCATGCTTAATGAAGTGCTGAAACCACTTCCTGAACAGGTCCCCGTCAATGTAGCCACTGTTTGACCGTCCATACAAGGCTTGGGGGGGCTCCCAGTGTGTAGTGGCCACCGGGGAAACACTTGGGGTAGATGATAAATGGGGGTACGTCCTCCCCAGCTGTGTTGAAGCTCCTTGGTCCACGGAGCCTGCTGGTACACATGTTTTGCGCCCCGGGGAGCCAGCACTTTGTGCCTGCTCTGGTCGCTACGAAACCCAGACTCAACGCAGTTATAGATTTGTCTAGGTTTCTCCCTCAACCCACTCTCCTCCAAGTGCTTCTCATAAGAAGTGAAAAATGTGTCCATCGTTGGACGTGTGGCACACGCTCTCCCCCTGTCCAGGGTGTCCGGCCTCCTCATGCTCAGGTTCTTGTGCCTCCTCCTGAACATTTCCCACCACCTCTTCCCCAGTGGTGGGATTGTTTCCCCTGGGTGCCGAAACCTACAATAGAATAGAATATATAATTGTCCATCCAGGATGAAAATGTTTGTTTTGGCATCACCATACACATCCACATCACACACATTGAGAACAGTCAGTCCAGCAATCTACATACATAAACACATAGAACACCAAATACCTGTGTATTTTGTCGTCGTATTTAAAATCAGCCTCTGTCTGGTGAAGGGGAACCCATGGCTGGCGCAGTAGATACAGTACTGCACCAGAGAATTTTAATCCTCTGGTGCAAGCAATGTGGGTGGTCCACTGCGACAACCATGGGTCACCCGGCCGCTCAGCCTGTCTGCCATGGTCTGCCGAGGTACACCATGCACCTTGGTAGATAAGAAAAGAAAACTTACTAGCAGATAAAATTCACATACACATGGTAATCTACTAAAAACAAAAGATGCCTAACCTTGCCAGCCTGGTGGATAGCCATCCCTGCCACGCAGTCCTCCATGGCATGGAACATGTCCACCTCACTCCACTGCTTCCTCTTGACTTTCTCCATGCTGTGGTGGTAAATACATGTAGCTAAATAACTTGGCATTCTATACACATTTTAGAAAGATAACTCAATCTGAATATGTATAAACATTTACATTTCAAAGCTAAGGCATTGAAAGGTCATGAAAGTTTTCACAATAACTGAAAGTGTACCCACGTTTTTTGTTTGATGTTATCTGTAATGAAAATGTGTGTCCCAATTAGTTTAATATTGATGCATGCATTGTAACATTTGACTAAATACTGCCTCTATGTAGCTGTTGTAAGATGAAACATACCCAACAGTGATAGGAGTCAAAAAGTTCATGGTTCAAAGTTCCAAATAGATTTTTGCAGATTGTGCAAAACGCCCCCGTCAAGAGGACTCACAGCTTGACAACATTCAGCTGTTTTCGTGATATGTATTATCTAACGCTCACAATTTCTTTCCTTTTTAGCTGTCTTAGCAGTTCTATCAACATTTAGCAACATTAGAAAATCTGTTAGCTATATTTCAGAGGTAAAAAGTTGGATATTGAATTATGTGTGGTCTGTCGCGCAGTCAAATTTTACAATATGCAGCGTGTCCCACAAAATGTGTACATATATCACTTTTTTGAAAACTCTCAAAACCTAACTTAACTTACATAAATCACACTGAAAATCAGTGGTCAGCTAGCTAGAAGGGTGTCTTTAGTCGCAAAACTTACCGTTATTTTCCAGTCCATTAAAATGTTGAGCTCGAGGTGATTTAGTCCTCCAACCGCTAGAGAGTGTCCGAAGTTAGGGGATGTCCGATGTTGGGGCAAAATTAGCTATATACAAGGAGTACCAGTACCGAGTCAATGTGCAGGGGTACGAGGTAGTTGAGGTAATTCAGTATGTACATGTGGGTAGGGGTAAAAGTGACTAGGCAATCAGGATATATAATAAACAGAGTAGCAACAGCGTATGTGAAGTGTGTAAGTGTGTTTGTGTGAGTGTGTCTGTGCACTGTGTCAATATGCATGCGTGTGTTTTGTGTGTGTGAGCGTATGTAGTGTGTGTGTGTGTGTGTGTGTGTGTGTGTGTGTGTGTGTGTTGCAGAGTCAGCGTAGTATGAGTGAGGACCAAAGCGTCTTAAAACTCTGGCAGAGCTCAAAGAGGAGAACACTTCTGTACATGTCTAGGAGCCTTTCCTTTGGCCAGCAGCAGGTTAAAACAGGCCAGACAACAGCAGACAAGAGGGAGCAGTGAGATGTCTTCACCCATGTCTCGTCACCCACATCCCTGCAGGCTTCCCCATACCACCAGCTGGAATTCATTTAAGCCCCCTCCTTTCCCCTGTCCTCCCCAGCTCATCCCTATGGCTCACCTTGGCCTTCTCAAAGTCCAGGTCCTTGCCAATGGTGGTGAGCAGCCTGCACAGGCACTCCAGCGATTCCTCGTCGTGGTTCTTCAGCAGCTTGACCACACAGTCGTGCATGATGGCCTCTGTCAGCATCTTGAGTTTGAACAGCTCCCCAATGAACCGGATGTTCCCTATGGAGCGCCGGCGGGCCTTGTCCTTGGCCTCCTCCAGCTCTAACCGTAGTCTCTCTTGATCACTGGACTGGAGAAGAGATGGAGAGTAGATTGTCAGACTTAACAGCAAACAATGAGCCCCCAGTGCCCCCCACTAACTATTCACAACTAACATCAGTAACTGACTGGGTCCCATAGAATTCTCTGCTCTGTATTCCCCTACTAGGGACAATAGGTGACAGACAGGTTGGTGATCTGGGTAGTGTGTGTTTAGGGTTTAGGTACCTGTGCAGAGTCGAGCTCCTTCTGTTTCCTCTCAAACACCACGTCGTCCACCTTGTCCCGCTCAAACTCCTTCTGACAGCGGTTGAGCAGAAGCTTACGGAAGTTCACTGTGGTGCTGGGTTTCTCCGTCATGGGCACTTTGAGCTGGAGAGCAACCGAGATAAGGAACAATTTGGTTAGAGGGGAAGAAAAATGGGGGAAAGAACAGAGAGAAACATTTTGAGTTGAACGGGAGATGAGGTGTCGAAAGAGTTAAATGGGGGACAGAAATATATATTTAGGGACATTTTGCTGAATGTTTATGGGGCTTTAGAGGACCCATGCATATACAGATTATCTATTTTCTTTTGGGGTTTTTTAGGTGGAAGAACAGCTTTAATATTGCAGATACATTATCACTTCCAATCCCACATATATATATATTTTCCCAAACATATACAGTTGAAGTCGGAAGTTTACATACCCTTAGGTTGGAGTCATTAAAACTTGTTTTTCAACCACTCCACACATTTCTTGCTAACAAACTATAGTTTTGGCAAGTCGGTTATGTCATCTACTTTGTGCATGACAAGTCATTTTCCAACAATTGTTTACAGAAAGATGACTTCACTTATAATTCACTGTATCACAATTCCAGTGGGTCAGAAGTTTACATACACTAAGTTGACTGTGCCTTTAAACAGCTTGGACAATTCCAGAAAATGATGTCATGGCTTTAGAAGCTTCTGATAGGCTAATTGACATCATTTGAGTCAATTGGAGGTGTACCTGTGGATGTATTTCAAGGCCTACCTTCAAACTCAGTGCCTCTTTGCTTGACATCATTGGAAAATCAAAAGAAATCAGCCAAGACCTCAGAAAAAGAATTGTAAACCTCCACAAGTCTGGTTCATCCTTGGGTGCAATTTCCAAATGCCTGAAGGTACCACGTTCATTTGTACAAACAATAGTACGCAAGTGTAAACACCATGGGACCACGCATCCGTCATACTGCTCAGGAAGGAGACGCGTTCTGTCTCCTAGAGATTAACGTACTTTGGTGCGAAAAATGCAAATTAATCCCAGAACAACAGCAAAAGGACCTTGTGAAGATGCTGGAGGAAACACGTACAAAAGTATCTATATCCACAGTAAAATGAGTCCTATATCGACATTACCTGAAAGGCCGCTCAGCAAGGAAGAAGCCACTGCTCCAAAACCGCCATAAAAAAGCCAGACTACGGTTTGCAACTGCACACAGGGACAGAGATCGTACTTTTTGGAGAAATGTCCTCTGGTCTGATGAAACAAAAATATAACTGTTTGGCCATAATGACAATTGTTATGTTTGGAGGAAAAAGGGGAAGGCTTGCAAGCCAATGAACACCATCCCAACCGTGAAGCACAGGGGTGGCAGCATCATGCTGTGGAGGTGCTTTGCTGCAGGAGGGACTGGTGCACTTCACAAAATAGATGGCATCATGAGGAAGGAAAAGTACATGGATATATTGAAGCAACATCTCAAGACATCAGTCAGGAAGTTAAAGCTTTGTCGCAAATGGGTCTTCCAAATGGACAATGACCCCAAGCATACTTCCAAAGTTGTGGCAAAATGGCTTAAGGACAACAAAGTCAAGGTATTGGAGTGGCCATCACAAACTTAGTGTATGCAAACTTCTGACCCACTGGAATTGTGATACAGTGTATAATAAGTGAAATAATCTGTCTGTAAACAATTGTTGTAAAAATTACTTGTGTCATGCACAAAGTAGATGTCCTAACCAACTTGCCAAAACTATAGTTTGTTAACAAGAAATTTGTGGAGTGGTTGAAAAAAACTAGTTTTAATGACTCCAATCTAAGTATATGTAAACTTCCGACTTCAACTGTACATATACATAGACATACATACACATAAATACATACATATACACATACAGTACCGTTCAAAAGTTTGGGGTGACTTAGAAATGTCCTTGTTTTCCATGAAAACATACATGAAATGAGTTTGAATAGAAAATATAGCAAAATGCATAGGAAATGTAGTCATTGACAAGGTTAGAAATAATGATTTTTTATTGAAATAATAAATTGTGCAATTCAAACTTAGCTTTCGTCAAAGAATCCTCCATTTGCAGCAATTACAGCCTTGCAGACCTTTGGCATTCTAGTTGTCAATTTGTTGAGGTAATCTGAAGAGATTTCACCCCATGCTTCCTGAAGCATCTCCCACAAGTTGGATTGGCTTGATTGGCACTTCTTACGGTCAAGCTGCTCCCACAACATCTCAATAGGGTTGAGATCCGGTGACTATAATGGAGTGGCCAGCACAGACAGAATACCAGTTGACTGCTTCTTCCCTAAATAGTTATTGCATAGTTTGGAGCTGTGCTTTGGGTCATTGTCCTGTTGTAGGAGGAAATTGGCTCCAATCAAGCGCCGTCCACAGGGTATGGCATGGCGTTGCAAAATGGAGTGATAGCCTTCCTTCTTCAAGATCCCTTTTACCCTATACAAATCTCCCACTTTACCACCACCAAAGCACCCCCAGACCATCATATTGCCTCCACAATGCTTGACAGATGGCATCAAGCACTCCTACAGCATATTTTAATTTGGTCTGCGTCTCACAAATGTTATTCTTTGTGATCCGAACACCTCAAACTTCGATTTGTTTGTCCATAACACTTTTTTCCAATCTTTCTCTGTCCAGTGTCTGTGTTCTTTTGCCCATCTTAATCTTTTATTTGTATTGGCCAGTCTGAGATATGGCTTTTTATTTGCAACTCAGTTGTACACCGGGGACCTCCCACTCCTCTTTCTATTCTGGTTAGAGCCAGTTTGCGCTGTTCTGTGAAGGGAGTAGTACACAGCGTTGTACGAGATCTTCCGTTTCTTGGCAATTTCTCGCATGGAATAGCCTTCATTTTTCAGAACAAGAATAGACTGACGAGTTTCAGAAGAAAGTTATTTGTTTCTGGCCATTTTGATCCTGTAATCGAACCCACAATTGCTGATGCTCCAGATACTCAACTAGTCTCAAGAAGGCCAGTTTTATTGCTTCTTTAATCAGCACAACAGTTTTCAGCTGTGCTAATATAATTGCAAAAAAGGTTTTCTAATGATAAATTAGCCTTTTAAAATGATAAACTTGCCATTGGAACACAGGACTGATGGTTGCTGATAATGGGCCTCTGTACGCCTATGTAGATATTCCATTAACAATCAGCTGTTTCCAGCTACAATAGCTATTTACAACATTAACAATGTCCACACTGTATTTCTGATCAATTTGATGTTATTTTAAATGGACAAAACAATTGCTTTTCTTTCGAAAACAAGGACATTTCCAAGTGACCCCAAACTTTTGAACGGTTGTGTACATATCCTTTTTTAATATATATTTTCCTTTATTACTTTTTAACCCTACCACCCCTCCCCTAATTGGAGTAAACTAGTGAACAACAACGCTTAGGCCTCTACTTCCAGCTTATACATTTTATGGACACAGTCAATTTTACAATAGTTATATTTTGTTTGTTTTTACTCCTGAACTTCCTCTATCCTCAACCTATCCGATCATTTTCATGATGTCCATCCGGTTTGCTTCTATATGCCATATCTTTCAAACTGTGCTCTTTCACAAAAGTTCTTAACCTATAACCTATATACGTATTATGGACACCGTATGTTTTACATTAGTTATCTTGTTGCTATTAGTTGTTATTAGTCCCAACCTTCAGCTCCATTCAACCCCTCCCATTCATCTCTTAACACCAACCATATTGGATTTCTATTTGCCATATATTTTTCAACTGTACTGTAATGTTTCACAAAAGTTCTGAACCTTTCTATTCTCATTGTTTCTACAGATTGTAAATGGAAAATAAACATTATTTTTGCTAAAAGTATTATTATATTATTGATCGATTGACTATGACTTTTCAGATCACCCAGTAGTGCTATCTGCAGGGTTAGCTCCAGGTAAATATTGCAATTCTTCAGCCATTCCTGGACCTGTGACCAAAAACAAGCTACAAATGGACAGTACCAAAACAAATGATCTAATGATGCTGTCTCTTCGCAGCAAAATCTGCAGAGCTGGGAAGATTGTATCCCCCCATATAAATAACATTCTATTGGTTGCAAGAATTTTGTATAATAATTTAAATTGAAAAATTCTATGTTTTGAATCCGGCGTCGTTTTGCGTATCAGTTCATAAACCATGTGCCATGGAATCGATACGTCAAAAATCTCTTCCCAACTATTTTGCAATCTATATAGGACAGCTGTCAAACCTTCGGCCCTTAAATGGAACTGGTTTACTTTTTTATTTATCACAATTTTCTTTAACCAATTATGGTCTTTAATACAGGGCCAACAGACAAGTTCCTTACTTTTCCCCCTTCCACTTTCCTCTTCCATTTTTGCGGTAATGCTGCAATTATTTGGTTGTAATTTTGGGTAGAGCAGACATTTCCATATGTTTTTGTTTGCTGCATGTGCGACATAACTCCACCAGTCCTACCTCTGATATAATTTACAAAGATTATACCTTTTTTTTTTTTATTCAAAAAATTACATTTTTTAAAATCAATTAGTATATTTGAGTTTAACCACAATATTTGTTGCATTATTTGTTCTGTCGTTTCTGGAGTCTTAAATTGAAATTGCAACCAACTTTCTACGGCTTGTTTTAGAAATAGTGATATTTGGGAGATTATTTCCTTTTCAAATAACTGAAAGTGAGAGGTTGTAATCGGAATAAAGGGAAAAAGGCCATTCTTGAACATAGGGTGAGACAATGTTACTAATTTGCTAGAGAACCAGTTCGGATTTAAGTATAACTTTTGTATGACTGAAGCTTTTAGTGATAGGTCTAATGCTTTCATATTTAGTAATTTCTGTCCTCCGAATTCATATTCATATCAATTCATAATAGGCCCGTTTAATTTTGTCTGGCTTGCCGTTCCAAATAAAATTGAATATTTTTTTCTCATATAATTTAAAAAACTGTTCGCTAGGCGTAGGCAAGACCATAAGCAAATAGGTAAACTGGGATAATACTAAAGAGTTAATCAAGGTGATTTTTCCACAAATAGACAGGTATTTACCTTTCCATTGTAGCAAGATCTTATCTATTTTGCTAACTTTCTATTAAAATGTATTTTGGGATATGTATACCGAGTATATCCACATCACCATCATACCATTTTATTGGTAAACTACACGGTAATGTAAAAGTTGTATTTTTTTTGTGATCCAATACATAATATAGTACACTTATCATAATTTGGTTGTAATCCAGAGAGGTTAGAAAATGTATCTAGATCCTCTATGAGGCTGTGGTGGGATTCAAATTGTGGATTTAAAAGAAAACATGAATCATCAGAGTACAATGACACCTTTGTTTATAAGCCCTGGATTTCTAATCCCTTGATATTATTGTTGGATCTGATTTTAATAGATAACATTTCCATGGCCATAATAAATAGATATGCCGATAGTGGACAACCTCCTTTTACTCCTCTTGACAGATTATCTTTTGATGTTGGCTAGCAGCATTCAGAGGAACCACAAGTAATCATGTCTGAATGATAAAGAACTGAGCATTACATACCGTGGTGAGGCAGCGGCACATGTTCCCGTAGGCCACAGAGAAGCCGGGCTCGTCGATGGCCTTCTCAAAGACCAGGTCGATGACACCCTTGAGGCGTTCCTCCGTGTCGATAGTGAGGTCCGTCACCTGCTTCATCAGCTGGTTGAACATCTGAGGCGTCAGTTTGTTGAGGATGCTGCGCACCTTCCGGAAGAGCTCCTGACAAGGCACCAACATCATCATCATTTATTGAGGTGAACATTCATTCACTCACACTTCATTTCATCTTCGGTCTCTTGACAACTCCTTGGTCACAACATTTCTTTCCTGTGTGGAGCCACTGCAGAAGAAACTCATAATATCTTGTAGTTGAGTAGGGTGTGTGTTTTGACTGTGTGGTTTTGTCTGATGAAAGGTTGGGCTCATCCTACCTGTGTTGTAATGACCTCAGGGTCGTCTGATGGCCCTGCCCTCTTCATGCCAGGTTTCCAGGCGTTCTCGGCCTTCTTCAGCTGCACCTCGTCGTTCGCCGACACGTTCAGGATAATCTTCCTGGGCGGGGGCCGCCGGGCACCACCCCCCATGTTCATCATCTGCTGGAGGACAGAGAAGAGAGAACAACACGTCACTTCTGCAGCTCACCACCAACAAAACACACCTCGCCAAGACTCCTCAGATAAGGGCTTGGGTTGTGTGCTCATATTCAGTTTACGACTTTCCTTGAATGAGTAAGACTTTGGGAAATGACTTCTCTAGCAAACCAACAAGAGACTCAAATCATTCCCCATGATTCATTTATCTCACTATGATCCCAGCCCAGCGATGTTGTTTGTTACTATACCAGAAGACTGTGGGAAATGAAACTCACAAGGTAATATTCTGTGAGTGCGTGTGAGAGAGAGAGAGAGAGAGACAGAAAGATGAGAAACACAAAGACAAGAGACATTATTTGAGAGAGAGAGAGCAGTGTTTCTGTTGGTGTCAGGAGGGGTAGTAATTACGTGAGCCTGGGATTGAGCGTGTGCGTGACTCACTGCAGCGCCGCCGCGTCCTCCACTCATCTGCCTGCCAAAATCAGCAAAGGCCGGTGTGAAGTCAGGGCCTCGAGAGATCACCCTGGATTCCACAGCCCGGGTTGGCAGCTTGTTTTGGTTTATCTGCAGAGACACACAGGGAGCGAGATGGTGAACTGACAGACCAGCAGGGGGAGCAGTGATTCTCTAACACTGTGGGCCTAGCCATAGGGGAAAGAAGTGGCTGTATAATCAAAATCAAATAATGTTTTATTGTCACATACCCCGGATAGGTGCAATAATCAATATAATAATATAATAATCAATATGGTGAAAGCGCCATATTGCTTATACCCATCAACTCCTTTCAGATCTACATGAAGTGCCTGAGGTAGGGGTTGGGAGTTGTTTCTGGCCTACCACTGGGGAGAAAGAGACTGGCCAGACCCCCCTCCCTTAGGTCTATCCCACTGGTGTTCACTGAGCGGTGGTGGATTCTCAATAACAGTCCTAGATCACCACCAACTTTGTATGTTGTTTTGTGTTTCAGCTATGCTTTTGATAAATTATGTTTAAACACATTTTGTGACTGGCAAAGTGAGTGAAGTCAGAACCAGATGTGGAAGGAGAACTAAGGGGAACATTGTGGGGGAAGGGAAGGGGGAGAACAACTACAGCTCTCTCAGCTGTCCTTGACTTCCCTTAGTACTCTCCACTAGTGAACATTTTCTCAGGGAGAATAATATGACTCCTGGGACTGTACATCAATCGTTGCCAGTCTTATTGCTCCTTTTCTGGGGCTGAATTATCAACACTGCCAAGTGTGACATAATAGCAATGTGATTTTAATCAAAACAGGATGTCTATGGGCTAGCCACTATAGGCTCCAACAGTATGGAGCCTATGTGGAGAAGAGGGAGATTAATTTACCAGAAGCCTATCATTTCATTAATGACTATTAGACTGAATACCTGAAAAAACCTACACATCTGGTCTTATGTTTACTATAGGGATCACATAAGGCTACTCACACTATTTGTTCTATAGAAATACATAATCCCTTTTCAAAAGCAACTTGCTTTGCTAACATCTTACACTATCCATTTATAGTCCAGAATATTTACTGAACCACTGTGGGGTTTAGGGCCTTGCTCACAGCTAACTAATTCTGTCCACTAGGTTGAAGCTCTGATCAGACCACTCACACACACCTTGTCCAGAACCACGTCACTGATCTGAGGCAGCCCGTCTGGCTTCTGTGTACAGGCAGCCATAAACTGGAAGCCTAGCAGGAAGTCCCGGTTGTACTGACGCTTCCCGTTGGTCTCCGCCAGATCTGAGGAAACAACAAGAGGTGAGGAAAACAGCCCTGCTCATCTCATACTGTGCAAAGGTTGTATGACTTGATTGTGAAAACGAAGTGAAAAACACTAATGAAACTGAGGCTAATAACTGCCCTCCTACCTTCCTGGAAGAGGTCTGGGGGTGCTCCTATAGAGCCCTCCTTGTCCCCAGGGGTGGCCCCACTGTCACTGCTCTCCGTCTCTGAGGTGTGCCCTGCCCCGTTCCTCATGGGCTCCAGCTCAGCCTCCCAGTTTTCCTCTGGGGCAGGGGGCTTCTCCTCTGCCTCCATGGCTGGAGGCGCTGCTGAGGGTGGGGGTGGGGTGCTGCTACTACGGGGCCTGACGGGCTGCAGGGCCTGGTCTCCAGCAGCCTCCTCCACAGGCTTGATCTCATCCTGGGGGAGGGAGCGGAGGGAGAGGGGGTGAGATAGAGGGATAGAGCGGACTTCAAACATGGGGCTTGGAACACTGATCATGATGGATAACTCCTTTCCGACGTCCTCTTGACTTTTCATTGTAATCAGAGGGCTAATATCAATCAACACTATGCATGCCAGTCTCTCTTGGCTAAGAGTTCAGGAAAGACTGACTGCATTGCTTCTGTTTTTTTATAAGAAACATTAATGTGTTGGAAATTCCAAATTGTTTGCATAGTCAACTGAAACACAGCACTGACACACACACACACACACACACTTAGCCCACCAGTCATGCCACCAGGGGTCTTTTCACAGTCCCCAGGTCCAGAACAAATTCAAGGAAATGTACAGTATTATACAGAGCCATGATTGAATGGAACTCCCATCTCATATAGCACAAGTGAACAGTAAACCTGGTTTAAAAAAACAAATAAAGCAATACCTCACGGCACAACGCCTCTCCCCCATGTGGCCTACTTTTTGCGTGCATGTATTGACATGTATGTGTAACTGATAGATGCACACCAGAGTATGTGTGCGGAGCGGAGCTGGAGCGTGCCCAATTTGACTGGAGCGCGTTTTCCCAATTTCGCTCCAGTAGCGCTCACTTCACGAGCTCAGGGCATGCCCGGTCCAGCATGCATTTGTAGGCTACTTGTGTTAGCCCCTTGCTTTAGCTAGTGTCATGTAGTTCGCTAAATATTTTCATAAAGAAACTGATAAGACACAGGTTCAAAATCAAGATGACTTACAAAGATGAGGAGGATCAAGAGCAAGAGAGGGAGTGTGGTGATGTAGTGTCCACAACTAAGGAATGAGGTGGGTAGCTAGCTAAGTGTGTCATTGTAGCAAAGTACACTGCTCAAAAAAATAAAGGGAACACTAAAATAACACATCCTAGATCTGAATGAATGAAATAATCTTATTAAATACTTTTTTCTTTACATAGTTGAATGTGCTGACAACAAAATCACACAAAAAGAATCAATGGAAATCAAAATGTATCAACCCATGGAGGTCTGGATTTGGAGTCACCCTCAAAATGAAAGTGGAAAACCACACTACAGGCTGATCCAACTTTGATGTAATGTCCTTAAAACAAGTCAAAATGAGGCTCAGTAGTGTGTGTGGCCTCCACGTGCCTGTATGACCTCCCTACAAGCGCCTGGGCATGCTCCTGATGAGGTGGCAGATGGTCTTCTGAGGCATCTCCTCCCAGACCTGGACTAAAGCATCCACCAACTCCTGGACAGTCTGTGGTGCAACGTGGCGTTGGTGGATGGAGCGAGACATGATGTCCCAGATGTGCTCAATTGGATTCATGTCTGGGGAACGGGCGGGCCAGTCCATAGCATCAATGCCTTCCTCTTGCAGGAACTGCTGACACACTCCAGCCACATGAGGTCTAGCATTGTCTTGCATTAGGAGGAACCCAGGGCCAACCGCACCAGCATATGGTCTCACAAGGGGTCTGAGGATCTCATCTCGGTACCTAATGGCAGTCAGGCTACCTCTGGTGAGCACATGGAGGGCTGTGCGGCCCCCCAAAGAAATGCCACCCCACACCATGACTGACCCACCGCCAAACCGATCATGCTGGAGGACGTTGCAGGCAGCAGAACGTTCTCCACGGCGTCTCCAGACTCTGTCACGTCTGTCACGTGCTCAGTGTGAACCTGCTTTCATCTGTGAAGAGCACAGGGCGCCAGTGGCGAATTTGCCAATCTTGGTGTTCTCTGGCAAATGCCAAATGTCCTGCACGGTGTTGGGCTGTAAGCACAAACTCCACCTGTGGACGTCGGGCCCTCATACCACCCTCATGGAGTCTGTTTCTGACCGTTTAAGCAGACACAGGCACATTTGTGGCCTGCTGGAGGTCATTTTGCAGGGCTCTGGCAGTGCTCCTCCTGCTCCTCCTTGCACAATGGCGGAGGTAGCAGTCCTGCTGCTGGGTTGTTGCCCTCCTACGGCCTCCTCCACGTCTCCTGATGTATTGGCCTGTCTCCTGGTAGCGCCTCCATGCTCTGGACACTACGCTGACAGACACAGCAAACCTTCTTGCCACAGCTCGCATTGATGTGCCATCCTGGATGAGCTGCACTACCTGAGCCACTTGTGTGGGTTGTAGACTCCGTCTCATGCTACCACTAGAGTGAAAGCACTGCCAGCATTCAAAAGTGACCAAAACATCAGCCAGGAAGCATAGGAACTGAGAAGTGGTCTGTGGTCACCACTTGCAAAACCAGTCCTTTATTGGGGGTGTCTTGCTAATTGCCTATAATTTCCACCTGTTGTCTATTCCATTTGCACAACAGCATGTGAAATTTATTGTCAATCAGTGTTGCTTCCTAAGTGGACAGTTTGATTTCACAGAAGTGTAATTGACTTGGAGTTACATTGTGTTGTTTAAGTGTCCCCTTTATTTTTTTGAGCAGTGTATTTAAAAATCAGATAACTTAAAAGTTTTGTTCTATTATCTATACAATAGGCGATCATTGATTTTGGCCCAATAGGGCTGACATATTACCTCTTTCAATGAGAGGCTGGAAAGGACGTGGAGCGTCAGAGCGTTGTGCAAGCACCGCTCCGTGAGTGACGAGCGGGATTTCCAACCGCTCAACTCCGCTCACATACTCTGATGCACACACACACACTACATATTCATGTTTTTAAATGTATGTAAATTAACTTTTGTCTGTAGTCTTTTTAGTTATATGTCAGACCCCAGTAAGACTAGCTGTCGCCATTGGCGTCGGCTGATGGGGATCCTAATAAAAATCTGACGATAACAACACTTCAAGTCATTAAAGTCTGTGTTCCACTGCCGCACATGTGGAAACATTTTCCATTTGAATTCCCCCCCCCCCCCCGCAGAGTGAATAGGAAGCCTCATTGCTTACCTCAGTCTCCCTCTGTGGTGCATCTCCAACAGGACTCCCTTCATTTGGTTTCTTCCAGGTCTTTGGTGTAGCAGGAGCAGTCTGACATACTGCAGAGAAAACAACAGCAAATACATTTTGAAGTCAGCTATAGGCTAGCGATTTACCACAAATCAATGACTAGAGACTTTTACAAGCAGAAAAGTGGCCTTCTCCCCAGCATAACCATAAAATCCAGCTGTTAGTGTAAGCACTGTGCTGTTCTCAGCAGTCAGCATTGAGTTCAGTCTGGCTGATCCAAGTCTTGTCCATCAGCAACCTTTAACTGTTGATTTATGGTATACACACAGGCATCCATGTGACATCCACACTGTCATATCTGTACCCATGGCTATGCACATACCTGTAGTGGGACTCTTTCTGGAAAGGGCTTGTAGCTGTGGTTCAGGCTTGCTGTCTGGTGTGATGAGTGCCTCTGTCCCTGCTTTGAGAAGGACGTCTTTAGTGTCCGAGGGCTTGCTGGGCTCCGCTGTGGCCTGCACTAGTGGCGGAAGGCCAGGGGGAGGCGCTGGAACCACAGGGCTGGAGGTCAGAGTGACTGGCACTACAGCGATTGGTGCGATAGGGTCTGTGACAGCAGGGGGCATCTCTGCCCTCACCTCACTGGGCACAGCCTCACTGCAGTCTTCTCTGGAGGCCAGGGCTGAAGCCTGGGGCTGGGTTGGGGAAAGGGAGGGAGCTAGGGGGTAGGGCTCCTGGGCCTGGGTGTTCATCTCAGCCCCAGTGTCAGCATGGCCATTCAAAGCCTTAGGGGTTAGGGCTGGGGAAGCAGCCAGGGTGCATTGGGCTTCTGGAAGAAGTTCCTCTGTGTTTGGGGTCTGGGACTGAGTCGTGGGTGGCATGGGCTTGGGGTCCGCTGCAGAGGAGGAAGGGGGAGCAGCGGGCTCCACTGCAGAGGGCTGCTCAATGGGGCCAGCTACAGGAAGAGGGGCCGGGAAGGGGGAAACCACCACTGGGGTTGGGGAGGGAAGCTCTGGATCCAAGTGGGGAGAGGGAGCAGTTACAGGTGCACTGGCCTCTCGCCTTTCCATTGAAGGTTCTGATTGTCCAAGCCCGGGAGAGGAAGACTTCTGGACAAGCGACTCCAATTTTGACTTATCATCTACTGGAAAAGAGAACAGATAACATTGTAATTAAACACAAAAGAAAATACAATTCTTTGTGCCAATCTCTTTATTGAGTCAACGTTCAGGTTCTAAAAAGCTTTTTATTCCTCAGTCCGCTGCTCTCAAAGCAGGGATGTATTCTGCCTGGAGGGTGGAGGGGTGAGGGCCGGGGGTAGAGGGTCAGACCTGGCCCTGGCTTGCTGGCTGCAGCCCCAGGCGTGAGCTGCTGCTGTGGCTGCTGCTGATGGGAGGGCTCCAGGCTGTAGGCTGAGTGGGCCTGGCCCTGGCCCTGCTCCGGAGTCTGGCTGCCGCCCGGCTGCTGCTGCGATTTGAGGTAGAAAATGTGAGGATAATGAGGGTGCGTCCATAAAAACTAGCAACACAGACAGACAAATAAGCACAAACGAGCACAAAAATAGAATTAAGCGGAAACAAGGAGACCAGTGGGTATGGTTAGATACATTAGCCAAGGAAAAGACGGAGGAAGACAAGAAAGGAGAAAGCAGGCAAAAGCGGAGCAAAGGAGAAGATGAAGAAGCAAAAAATAAAGAGTGCAAGAGTAGGGGAGGTGGAGAGTGAATGACAGGGAAATGGAGGCACACAAGGTTAAACAAAGCAAAAGAAGGGAGCGTAAAAAGAAACAACAAAAGACAGAAAGAGAGGAGAGACAATGTTAATGTCCAAGGAGAGGACAGGGAGGAAGTGTCACAATAAAAGCTTTCCCTCCACAGAATCCAGAACAAGAACTGTAATTTAAGATGATTGACTATTTCTATACACGGGTTGGTTGTTTAACAAAACTGATGCGTGCGCAACTATGGGGCAATACAGACAGGGTTGGCTTAGATTGTTGACAACATGTAAACTATAATTCGTCTCCAATGTTTATTGAAAATATAAATACATTTGCACAATGAGCACTTGTCGTCTCAAATACATCGTTACAGTTGTTGGTTGGCTAGCTAGCCAATTTGAGCCATATTAGCATAGACAGTCAAAACACCTCAAAACAAGTCATGGTATCAAGAACAAGATAAAACTAGCTGAAACAAGCCACCTACAGTGAAGGAAAAAAGTATTTGATCCCCTGCTGATTTTGCACATTTGCCCACTGACAAAGAAATGATCAGTCTATAATTTTAATGGTAGGTTTATTTGAACAGTGAGAGACAGAATAACAACAAAAAAATCCAGAAATGTTATAAATTGATTTGCATTTTACTGAGGGAAATAAGTATTTGACCCCCTCTCAATCAGAAAGATTTATGGCTCCCAGGTGTCTTTTATACAGGTAACGAGCTGAGATTAGGAGCACACTCTTAAAGGGAGTGCTCCTAATCTCAGCTTGTTACCTGTATAAAAGACACCTGTCCACAGAAGCAATCAATCAATCAGATTCCAAACTCTCCACCATGGCCAAGACCAAAGAGCTCTCCAAGGATGTCAGGGACAATATTGTAGACCTACACAAGGCTGGAATGGGCTACAAGACCATCGCCAAGCAGCTTGGTGAGAAGGTGACAACAGTTGGTGCGATTATTCGCAAATGGAAGAAACACAAAAGAACTGTCAATCTCCCTCGGCCTGGGGCTCCATGCAGGATCTCACCTTGTGGAGTTGCAATGATCATGAGAACAGTGAGGAATCAGCCCAGAACTACACGGGAGGATCTTGTCAATGATCTCAAGGCAGCTGGGACCATAGTCACCAAGAAAACAATTGGTAACACACTACGCCGTGAAGGACTGAAATCCTGCAGCGCCCGCAAGGTCCCCCTGCTCAAGAAAGCACATATACAGGCCCGTCTGAAGTTTGCCAATGAACATCTGAATGATTCAGAGGAGAACTGGGTGAAAGTGTTGTGGTCAAATGAGACCAAAATCGAGCTCTTTGGCATCAACTCAACTCGCCGTGTTTGGAGGAGGAGGTATGCTGCCTATGACCCCAAGAACACCATCCCCACCGTCAAACATGGAGGTGGAAACATTATGATTTGGGGGTGTTTTTCTGCTAAGGGGACAGGACAACTTCACTGCATCAAAGGGACGATGGACGGGGCCATGTACCGTCAAATCTTGGGTGAGAACCTCCTTCCCTCAGCCAGGGCATTGAAAATGGGTCGTGGATGGCAATTCCAGCATGACAATGACCCAAAACACACGGCCAAGGCAACAAAGGAGTGGCTCAAGAAGAAGCACATTAAGGTCCTGGAGTGGCCTAGCCAGTCTCCAGACCTTAATCCCATAGAAAATCTGTGGAGGGAGCTGAAGGTTCGAGTTGCCAAACGTCAGCCTCGAAACCTTAATGACTTGGAGAAGATCTGCAAAGAGGAGTGGGACAAAATCCCTCCTGAGATGTGTGCAAACCTGGTGGCCAACTACAAGAAACGTCTGACCTCTGTGATTGCCAACAAGGGTTTTGCCACCAAGTACTAAGTAATGTTTTGCAGAGGGGTCAAATACTTATTTCCCTCAATAAAATGCAAATCAATTTATAACATTTTTGACATGCGTTTTTCAGGAATTTTGTTTTGTTCTTCTGTCTCTCACTGTTCAAATAAACCAACCATTAAAATTATAGATTGATCATGTCTTTGTCAGTGGGCAAACGTACAAAATCAGCAGGGGATCAAATACTGTTTTCCCTCACTGTACAACTCCCCACATGGCAGCTTCTTGTCATTGTTGCTAGCTATCTGACCATCCAGAATCACAACACAAGGATTTCTGCCCCATTAAAGCGTGAGCATAGTTTGTGACGTTGTCAGCTAACCAGTCTATTAAAATGTTCTCAGCACATATATGACTCATTTTGTTTGAATCAATGAATAAGTATAGAATCTTATTCTGGATTCTTCATGGAGGGACAGAAACCAGAAACTACATGTTCCACAACAACATTTACTGCACAAGTGAGGGAGGAGATACAGTGATACATGCAGGTAGGTATATATATATATATATATATGTGTGTGTGTGTGTGTGTGTGTGTGTGTGTAAGCCATATATTGGTGTGTCCAAGATTAATATGATAACTCATTTACTATGAACAATGAGTGTGTGTGTAAGCCATATATCGGTGTGTCCAAGATTAATATGATAACTCATTTACTATGAACAATGAAATAGTGTTTAGGTCACCTTTGTAAAATAGCCAAGGTTTTCTGTTACTCAAATTGGATAGCAAAGGTTATGAAGGTGAGGCCAGGTAAGGCCAGGTGAGTGTGTTTGGGCCCAGTTGCAGAGCAATGGGTGGGGGGCAGGGAGTCAGGGACAGTGGCTGAAGTCTGAGTGGCTGGCTGTGTCTAACGCAGCATGGCAGAGGATGGATTACAAACACAGAAAATGTGCTGTGCCTGGTCTGGTGCATGGCTCTGTCTGTCGTAGTGCCAAAGCCCTGGTGGCTTAATCGCCTGCTCCCTCCCAACACCAAGCAGTCTGCCCTGGGCAGACATGGGTGACAGGCTAACAGCTCAGTTCAGTGGGCCAGTGGCACGCCATGGCAACCTGTGTGTGTGTGAGAGAGAGAGAAAATAAGCCTAAGAGCAGGCAGCATGAGAGTAGATGTGTCATTACCTGTGGTGGGGTGGGGGTGGAGGAGGGTCGTCCGACAGGGGGGGTTGGATTTCTGCTCCCTGTGCCCCCTGCCATGATCTCCTCTGTGATGTCCCTGCCGCCCTGGTTGGGGTCCCGGATACGGATCTGGGAGGACAATGACACGAAAAGAGCGGCATCTCACTAAAGCGCCAGAGTCTCAGAGCAACCCTTCCTCAGCCATTCAAAACAGTGAGTGTGCTGTGTAGTGCGTACAGGAGTGCATCTGTGACCAAAAGTTTCAGACATTCTTATTCATCTTGTGCAAATGTAGAGAGAAAAAGTTTAACACTATTTCAGCAAAGGCACTTGAAAGGTTTCTGGCAAGATAATATATTTTCATGTGGGTCTTCACAAGTGTGTCATAAGAGATTACATTGACAATTATGAATTGTCAAACTGTATATTGTAATTGACAGAGGCAGGGAAATGGAGCGACAAAAAGTGACTTTTTCAAATCCTCCTACAGTCGCATGCAGGTAAGACGTTTTGATTTCTATATAGTACCAGAAAGAGCAGATTCTGAGGTTTCAACAACACTTACCTTTGCAAAATAAGTCTCAAATTTGAAGAGATTACCTCCATTTCAAAATATAAAGAATAAACGCTGTTCCATGAGCTTCACGAGTGAGCATGCGGCAGCAGATAGCCTACAGTAACAAACTAATAAATGCTATTGTGTTCTTTGAAATACCCAAGACCTTCATAAACACAACCAAAATATTATTTTGTTCCGATAGCATATATGAAATCTATTTATTAGACTGTTAGAATGTTGCAGTCAAAATGACTGCTAATAGGCTCAAAGTGGGGTCCCTCGAGGCCTGGCTTCTCTAGTGTTATACAGCCAGATTAAGGCCTGGCATACATTTCAAACCAACCCTCCTTCCACACACAGAAACACTCTCCTGGCAGCCTTGATCCAAATCAACCCATGTCATCCCTCATATACTTTCCTTCTTTTATAATGTAACTCAAAAGGGCTGATGTATCCAGAAATGTCTCATCAGAAATATCAGGGATCATTTCTCATATCCTCTCACAGTATGCATGTGGAAACAGACAAGCTGGTGCGTCACTGAGCAGATGGCCTATGCTAGACGGCAGCATGCTGAGATACTCACTGGTTTCTTCTCACGCTTGGCTGGTGGAGGTTGCTGCGGTGTAGGCACTATGATGGGGGGTGGGGGGGGGTACACCTGCTGTCCTGGATAGTATTGAGGTCCGGGAGCTGTGTCAGGGAGGAGGAAGAAGAAAAGGGTAAGCAGAGTACAGTGTGTGTGTGTGTGTGTGTGTGTGTTTTTGTAGCTGAGGAACAAACTGTGACTTGAAGGGGTCTGTACTAAAATATAATTTTACTAGAAAGGGCTAACAGAGAGTCACAGTTAACAGCTAACAGAGTCTATCTGTGTGCTTTGTGGAGGGAGAAACAGCCATTACTGGTGGGGTGTTTGTGTGCTTGGCTGAGACTCACCGTACTGAGCAGGGTACTCCCCCGGGCCAGGGCCAGGATAGAAGGTGCCAGACCCCGGTGGCTGCACTGAAAACTGCTGGGGCGGCCCCACATAGGGCGTACTGTGGCGATACTGCAGAGAGACAAATGGAGGGGATAGAATAGAACAAAGGGTTACAAGCAGTGTGGGGCAATAGGAGAGGAATGCCTGCTGGAGAGTAGCAGCAGCCTAGTCAGTCAGTCTCACCTGTGGGATGTAGTACTGGGCAGCCTGTGGGGAGGGGAAGGGCATGGGGGCCATCATCATCATGGTGGGCTGGTTGGGGGAGTACACCGCCGCTGTGGGGTTCTGAGAGCCAGGCCGCATAGAGTGAGCGTTGGTGGGGATGGTTGGCCGCGCTGTCTGCATCTGAGCCCTCTGGAAAAACTGAGACACACACACACAGAGAGACAAAGATAATAAATGAGAGAGAAGTTAGTCCCAGAGAAGCAAGAGAGGATCCACAACTGTCCTAACCGCAGACTCATCTCTTCATGCCTGTCCTGTGTGGTCTCATTTCAGCTTTGGGGACGCAGGGGCTCAGAGAGAGAAGCCACTAAGGCCTTAGGGACAGACGGCATCATCTCAGAGGACCAGGTGGATGGCACTTCCACTCCATCACTCTCTGTTCTGGTCTACAGAGAGACACTCTCAAACAGTCAGAGCACATCTTTCCCCAGGCAGCATTAACAAACCCATAGCACACCCATAGGACTCCTTGACCCCACCAGCTGGGTTCACTCAGCCCTCTCATCAGAGAGAGATGGAGGTTGTGAAAGGTCTCAGAACACAGCGGTCTACCAGCCGCCTCTGCCTCCCAACTTGCTGTGCTGTTACAACAGGGCTTTGAGAGCACTGTGCCATGCTGCCAGAGTCCACCAGCGCACAGCAACACCTGTACCTACTTATCTATCTCCGCAGCCACACATGCTGACTCTATATGCAACCAAATGGCCTTTACAATGCAGTGTCCACAACGTTCACATTTGTATAGTGCTCTAAGATAAATTGTTACTGTTTATACTATAGCTAATTTATACATACCTGGGGTTACAGTGTAATATAGTTCTGTGTATAGGTTGTGTTTACGATTTGGAGACAGCTCTTCTTCACATGTCAAAACACAAAATTATGAAAATGTTCTCATGACTGCAGAAGTTATGCTGATTGCAGAAGACTAAATATCACAATCAATGGGATGCTCAGTGCTTCCAGGCTCTTTTGGGGGAACTCATAACATTTTACGCAGCAATCAATGTACTCGGGGAAAGATGAAAGACTCCAAACAGCTGTGGCCGACATCCTAACGACTAGAGCTCAAGTTCACCACATAGTTGACTCAGGTTCCAATAATTCTTCAGAGACCAGGCACCCTGAAGTGTACACAACCTTTCTTTAAATCAGGTTCCTTTCATAAAAATAAAAAAACTTTGACCGAGGGTCCCATATGGCGGCGCACAATTGGCCAAGCATCGTCCGGGTTAGGCCGGGGGGGCTTTACTTGGCTCATCGCGCTCTAGCGACTCCTTGTGGCAGGCCGGGCGCCTGCAGGCTGACTTCGGTTGTCAGTTAAACTGTGTTTCCTCCGACACATTGGTGCGGCTGGCTTCTGGGTTAAGCGGGCAGGTGTTAAGAAGCGCGGTTTGGCGGGTCATGTTTCGGAGGATGCATGAATCAACCGTCGCCTCTCCCGAGTCCGTTGGGGAGTTGCAGCGATGAGACAAGATCGTAATCACAAAATTGCAGAGAAAAAAGGGGGTAAAAATTACACACAAAAAAGGAAGAGTTAACAGTTCTAATATTCTGCATGCAGTTCATCCAAACTAAGCAAACATGAGGAAAGAAAAATTGATCAAAATGATAGAATTATTAAAAAAGGTTTTGTTTGTTAAAAAGAGAGAAGATGATGAGAGTGAGTGTGGTGGTCTTAGATTATTATGTTGGGGGGAGAGAGGGGTTTTCTACTTAGAAAAATGTAGTGAAGATGATGGCCACAGGAAGACTCTGAGGTTAAAGGTTAAATGTTAGGGGTTAGGACCGGTAGGTAGGTAGGTAGGTAGGAGTGTTCCTCATGCATCTGCAGAGAGTTATGATAAGAGTCATTATTACCTGGATGGGCCTGAATCCTCCCTTGAGTATTGAAGCAAGAAAGAGAGAAAAGCCAATGGGAGACTGCACTGATGAGTGTGGAGCCCAACACAGCGGGCAATCATTCACAACACACACACACACACACACACACACACACACGCCGTAACAATATGCAGCCGGTGGACCCTTTTGCCAACTGGGTGGTTATCAGTCCCAGTGTGGAGCCGACTATTCCCACAGCGATGACTTAGCAACACAGACAGGGTGTCGAGGGCTGCGAGCCAGGGCCTACACTCTTGAGTTATGTGACATCACAGAGTCTATCTAGCTGCTACCATTCACATAGGAATAAACTCAGCCAGGCTCACTAGTGTGACCACAGTATTATTCCCAACATCTCGGAGTAAAGACAGAGAGAGTGAGGGAGGCGGGAGTCCGAGTCTATCCTGATGGGAACGCTCCTTTTTATTCCCTTTCAGTTTGCTTTGCCCTGGCAACATGCATGGTAGCCCAACTAGGATTTTGCTCCACTTTGGCTGGCAGACATGAGCTTGTTGTTTGTATCAAGGAGTGCCAACAATGATAGCTCTGCTTACAGTGGGGAAAAAAAGTATTTAGTCAGCCACCAATTGTGCAAGTTCTCCCACTTAAAAAGATGAGAGAGGCCTGTAATTTTCATCATAGGTACACGTCAACTATGACAGACAAATTCAGAAAAAAAAATCCAGAAAATCACATTGTAGGAATTTTAATGAATTTATTTGCAAATTATGGTGAAAAATAAGTATTTGGTCACCTACAAACAAGCAAGATTTCTGGCTCTCACAGACCTGTAACTTCTTCTTTAAGAGGCTCCTCTGTCCTCCACTCGTTACCTGTATTAATGGCACCTGTTTGAACTTGTTATCAGTATAAAATACACCTGTCCACAACCTCAAACAGTCACACTCCAAACTCCACTATGGCCAAGACCAAAGAGCTGTCAAAGGACACCAGAAACAAAATTGTAGACCTGCACCAGGCTGGGAAGACTGAATCTGCAATAGGTAAGCAGCTTGGTTTGAAGAAATCAACTGGGAGCAATTATTAGGAAATAGAAGACATACAAGACCACTGATAATCTCCCTCGATCTGGGGCTCCACGCAAGATCTCACCCCGTGGGGTCAAAATGATCACAAGAACGGTGAGCAAAAATCCCAGAACCACACGGGGGACCTTGTGAATGACCTGCAGAGAGCTGGGACCAAAGTAACAAAGCCTACCATCAGTAACACACTACGCCGCCAGGGACTCAAATCCTGCAGTGCCAGACGTGTCCCCCTGCTTAAGCCAGTACATGTCCAGGCCCGTCTGAAGTTTGCTAGAGTGCATTTGGATGATCCAGAAGAGGATTGGGAGAATGTCATATGGTCAGATGAAACCAAAATAGAACTTTTTGGTAAAAACTCAACTCGTCGTGTTTGGAGGACAAAGAATGCTGAGATGCTGAGTTGCATCCAAAAGAACACCATACCTACTGTGAAGCATGGGGGTGGAAACATCATGCTTTGGGGCTGTTTTTCTGCAAAGGGACCAGGACAACTGATCCGTGTAAAGGAAAGAATGAATGGGGCCATGTATCGTGAGATTTTGAGTGAAAACCTCCTTCCATCAGCAAAGGCATTGAAGATGAAACATGGCTGGGTCTTTCAGCATGACAATGATCCCAAACACACCGCCCGGGCAACAAAGGAGTGGCTTCGTAAGAAGCATTTCAAGGTCCTGGAGTGGCCTAGCCAGTCTCCAGATCTCAACCCCATAGAAAATCTTTGGAGGGAGTTGAAAGTCTGTGTTGCCCAGCGACAGCCCCAAAACATCACTGCTCTAGAGGAGATCTGCATGGAGGAATGGGCCAAAATACCAGCAACAGTGTGTGAAAACCTTGTGAAGACTTACAGAAAACGTTTGACCTGTGTCATTGCCAACAAAGGGTATATAACAAAGTATTGAGAAACTTTTGTTATTGACCAAATACTTATTTTCCACCATAATTTGCAAATAAATTCATTAAAAATCCTACAGTGTGATTTTCTGGATTTTTTTTTCTCATTTTGTCTGTCATAGTTGATGTGTACAGGCCTCTTTCATCTTTTTAAGTGGGAGAACATGCACAATTGGTGGCTGACTAAATTACAGGCCTCTCTCATCTTTTTAAGTGGGAGAACATGCACAATTGGTGGCTGACTAAATAATTTTTTCCCCCACTGTATTTCAAACAGACCACAATGACATGGCCTCAACCGCGCAAGTTAAATGTTAATGCAAGATGCAAAATGTTAATGATGCTAATATCGGACCTTTCAATGACTGAATTTGAACTCTTACTAGGAAAGCTGGATGAAAACTACTCACATTAAACACCAGCTCAAAAACAATACCGATACAATTTACTTGGATGTCTCTAAAGTGGAGATATAGGCTACAACTAATATTGTCCTACCATACAACAACTTTATCCTTATGTCTGACCTCTTGGTTCGCAGCCTTAAAAGAGCAAAAGACTGACGTTACTTTAGCAAAGATAAATCAAGAGTAACACGGAGAGGTCGGATGACGTAATCCAGCTGAATAAAGAGAGGTTTTCGGAAGATGAATGAATTTTCAGATCACTATGTAACACTTTTTGTGCTTGGGGATTGCAACTTATTTCAGAGACAAGGCCCATTTTCTCTGGCCGTATAATAGCCCTTTAGTTCTGCTTCATCTGCTTTCCGACTCCACTTCCGTGGCGGCACAAGAGAGGCCAGTGCCAGCACAGAGCAGAGCCAGTATGTGACAGGGCATGTCCTGTGTATTCTGTGCCAGTAAACAGTTCAGATTCAGACACACTGAGCCTGACTGACATAGGAGGCTGCCTATTAATAGTCTGTCAAAATGACCAACACAGAATGATCCAGAAGGTGAGAATGTTGGACAACAAGTTATGGACGGGGTGGGGGGTGCCTGTCTGCCTATGGGACCCAGTGTCTTTAAATGGCATCTGCTTCTCAGAAGGAGACACCAGGAAGGTGCTACGGGCTCAGTTTCTGTGCCCAGGATCGTCTCAGCAATCACATAGTTATGCTCAATCACACACATACACACACACACTCAATTCACAAACAAAACATGCAATCATATTCATATGAAGCATCTATTCATCAGATAATCTAAAAACACATTGACTCAGTATAACCCTCATTAAAAGGAGAAGAATCGAGAACATAGTGCATGCCAATGTCAGAAAACAGGACAAGATGTTTCCAAAATGTTGGCG